ATAAAGAGAAGGAGAGGGAGAGGGGCGAACGGTCGGAGAGGTCAGAGCGGGCTGGGAAGTCGGACGCAAAACGATCAGAAAAGTCCAGTAAGAAAAAATGAGCTTGGACGGGAGCTGGGATTGAAGCTCACAGTATGAACTCTGGCTGGGAGGCGGGGCCATAAACTGGTTGCGAACGCCCCCCTCCTCCTCTTCGCCTCCAACACTGTCAACAGAGCAGTCGTGTTTGGATGGAAATCGAAGGATTGACCCGGGCTCACTCATAGGACGGACGGGACGGATTTGATTTGGAGCAGGAGACACCTCTCTCGCTCTCCCCCTCTATCTCTCTCTCTCTCTCCCTTCTGTGTCTCTGTGAGAACGCACAGAGTCACCGACGCCCCCTGGTGGCCGTTTCGGAGAACTGCCTGAGAGCAGGGTGGCGCTTTGTGCTGCGGAGCCCTGGGCAGCGTCGCCGCGAGAGAGAGACGAGACGCGCGTCACGGTCAACGGGAAGGCTGTTAGGCTGACGGCTGGTAGAGCGATAAAACGTAGCTCATGCTGTTCCATGTTTGTTTTTTCTATGAGACGAGCTCCGTCTGTATGTATTTCTCGTCTGTGTGTCCTATTTACTGTATATATCTGTCTGTAAGTCGAGACATCCTACACTACGTCTTATTACTCCTTGGAAATACAAACAGAATGAAATTATGCCAAAATGTTTTACAGACCTTCTTTTACTTTCTCCGCTGTATTCCCATCTGTCTGGAGGTCTGGCCATGAAAACATGTAGAAACTATAATAGTTTTACTTAGATAACAAACTGCACTGTAAACACATGCGTGCACTTGCCCTGGATGAGTCAGCACTGATCTCCAGGTTTGTGCTGACTCTGTTTAAGAGAAGAGAAGAGTAGACGTCGGTCTTCAGAACTTTGTTACGCACACAAAAAACAAGAAGAAATGTATCAAATCGAGATCCCAGGACATGCAGAGCAGTTTCCCTTCCCTTGGGTAGGATTTTATTTTAGCATTATAGATTTTCTAGTGAGCAGTAGGTGGTCAGAAGAAATAAAAAGTCTTGTTCCCAGGGGCCTCATTCATTAAAATGATTTTAAAAGTGGACCTCTTGTAGTTTTATTTATATTCTGTCATATATAGACTTTTACGGTGGTAGATAAATGCTCATCTTAAACACGGGGCAGGTGGGTATTCCTAGTATGATCATTGGCCTTAAACAGGTGGTGGTTTAAGTTTAAGAGGTCCACTTAAATTAATGAATAAAATAGGAAAAAATCTTTATTTTTGATATTTCTAATAAAAATGAAACATTCATTGTCATCTGCTTGTTTTACCGTCTAGATCAGTTTTTCGTGGTTTGGTCATAAGCACAAAATCTGCATGTTTTTAATGAATGAGGCCTTCAGGGATGAAAACAGGCCTCATCTACTCTTTTATTCTCTTACAACATCAAACTACTGGATATTCTCTTTGATTTATTATACATACAAATTTGTTTTTATACAGAGTTTAAAACAAAATCTTGTTTGTGTGTGTGTGTGTGTGTGTGTTTGTGTGTGTGCGCTGCTGCTCTCCGCTCCCAGGGTCTCCATAGCTCTCAGGTTATTTGTGTTGGTGTGTGCTTCACACTCGTCAGTACGTTCGTCCCTTCAGATGCCGCCTCAGTCTTCCGGATACAATACGTCCCATTCACAACACACATGTACACACACCCCATGCACACATTTGTACTTCTATCTTTGTGATGCTACATTCCCTCACCCCTTAATTTAACCCTGATTCTGAACCTTCAAATAAACCTTTCCGAGCGTCTTTCAAAGTCAGGTCCTCGCTCACAAAGATAGACTTACATCTTCGCACGCACACATGAAACCCATCAGGCTGAAAATGTTAGAGGTTATAAACGAGTCTTAAAAGTCATCAGGTGGAAATGACTGAAGCGATCAACTAATAAAAAAGCGAATGAGCTGACACGGCACTGACAAAATATTTCATAAGTGAGAGATTGCATGCTTTTCTTGGAGAGAAATCACTCGTCTAAAGAAGCTCGTCTTTGCAGTTTAGCATCTCTGTTACGAGTGTATGTTTTATTTCATGGTAACGCACCACGATGCCATAAACAGCAGGAAATGAGAATCATCACGTTTATCTGGTAAATGCAGCTTTGTGAAGCACCAGCGGTGGATGGTGGCATTAATTTCCTGCCCCGTTAGATGCATGCGGGCCAGACTGCATTTAAACTTCTTTTAAAGTACGTTATTATCACCGCTGCTGTATGAAAACTCATTCCAGCTCTCGTGTTTCAGATGCTCTCTGTTAAAGTTCAGCTGAAATGCATTTGCATAATTGTTATTTTATTTTTAATAATTAATTATTTGCAGCTCCTGTACTGCATGTGAAACAGAAAGCTAGATAAAATAGAAAGGCCTCAGTCGTAGGGCACACGTCCAAGTTAGTTTCTTGGAGCATTAGCTCCTGATGCTCCCTGATGCTGTGTGCACAGTTTCAGGATATGTGGTGCATTTTAACCCACACCTGTGGCCTAGAACAAATCAAACTATGACTTCTAAACTGGAAATGATGCAAGAGAAAATTAAAAAAAAATCCCTGCAGCCACACTGGAGAACAGGAAACCCAAGCGCTTGTGTTCAGCCATTGAGATCATGCTTGTTTATCTTCTTCTGTTTGCCAGCGGCAGCCATTCAGAAGAAATCAGGACTAAAGAGAGCATGGCCTTTTAGGGAGAAGAGCTACAACAGCTTGTTTCAGACAGAAGATAAACTAAAGGGCTCCACCGGGGCTCGGTATAAATGGAAATCATGCAAAGCTACGCTGTTAGAGTCCAAGAGTAAAACTATGGAGCTGAAAATGAGCTTAACAGGTTGTCTTTTTTAAGGTGTTTTCTCTTTTTGATTCGATTTTTTGGTCAGTGCACAGCTGCTTCACAGAGCTTCGAATGCAGCCTTTTGGTGTTTTTAGTTTTCAAAACGCCGTCTGCCCATGGTTTTTACCTGCTCTCTCACCTTTCTGCTGCATGTCACAGAGTCTGCCAGCTCATCAAAGACGCATCACTCCAATACTTACATTTTTTAAATTAAAGACCAGGTTATTTTTTAACTCAAACATGAAGGACTTCACATAACTTCAGTAATATTTTACAAGAAAACATTTACATTTATTTGTAAGAAGGCTGTAAAGCCCAAGAATCCAACTCGTGTCTATATTTGCTAGGATAGAGTTCATATTTAAGGCTTGTTAAAGATGGTTATCGGTCAGCTGATTGTGTTGGGTCTTATTTATTTATTTATTTATTTATTTTAGGTTTTCATTGCTGGATTTTTAAATTCCCTCCTGACCTACAGACCTCGTTTCTGTTTCTCATAAAATATGTCTTTAGAACTTGTAATTTATTTCATGAGAATGCCACATGAGTGCAATCATTTGCATGCATGTCAGACACAACAAACACACCAAGAGTGAAAAGAGTTTCATGTTTAAAGTGGCACCGAGCCAGCCGGCTGACTGATTGTGAATCCAGCATCATAATAAACCTCCATGATTTGTTTCTGCTGATACACACAGAACAGATCGCGCAGGGTACAGCTGAACCAATAACAAGTCAAATAACTTTACACTTTAGATAATATATGAAAGGTAAACATTGGGACAAATGAAAGCTCGACGGTTTGGGCGTGTGCGCCGATACCCTGCCCGTCTGTCTGTTGTGCTCACATCAGCCTCATTCTGTCGGCAGACACGAAGTAATAAATAAAAATACCTTTTGGTTTGTTGTTAATGTATTGAAAGTGTTTTCTTTTCTGCCTGGAAATGAATGTAGATCATTGATGTTGAAAATGTTTCATGTTGGATCAGTGTTTCCTCCTGTTTACACGATCAGGGGCCAAAAAGGCCCCGAAAAATGAAACGCACTGTTTTTTTTTAAGCGGAGGGAAACACTGGTGCAGATTCTCTGATGCCATTCAGACACTTCAGACTTTGACATGTTGCATCTTGTACACCAAAACCACTCAGTAGTATGCAGTAATATGAAGTCTATGAGGATTGTAGAGCGGTGTGTTCAGGGATTAATGTTGCCGATGATGGTGAGGATGATGTCCGTGGTAGCAATGGAACTTTATGCAACCTTTTCTTTGCACTAGGGACGCTGGCCTGTTGCAGGGCTGAGGGCTGGTGTTCACTGGTGTTGGGGATCCAGCAGAGGGACGTCAGACCCGGACAAGTTAAAAGTTGCCAAAATGAGAAGATTAAAGTATTATGAGGGACCTTTTCAGGTTCAGTCACATGCAGTTTGGCTTTGAGAAGGGCGTGAAATTCACTTTGATCTTCAAAGTTCGTGTACAGCTTATGGACATTTATGCAAGAGCTAAAACCTTTAACTGAACGAACTGCTTAATAATCAGTTCGTCGTTTTGGCGAGTGGTCCTAGAACCTTCTCGGCAGAGCCGGCCTTTTATAGAAAAATCTATAAACAAACTTTAAACAAACGCTACTTTTGTTATACTACATTTTTCTTTTGACAGCACTGACTGTAATTAATATTGAAACATAAGTTCAGTGACATTACTGCAAAAATTAAACCTGGAAGAAGTCCTGTTTTCATTCAGAAGCTAATATTTAGCGACACATAACACTCTGTGCTATGTACTTATTAAATAGACTGTATATAATAGATGGACTTGGCCACTAGTGAGTGAAGTTCTGATTTGAAGCCTGAAGATATTTTCAACCTTTTGCTATTTTAGTTGTTTGAAACCAGATGTCACAGAAAGAGTGTGGATCTCGCTGTGAAACCAACACTGGACATACTCGGATTGGTCCCCCTTTGTGACTTTAATAATTCATAATTTACAAAAAATTTAAAAGGCATCTTGTTGTGTTGAATAAAAGTTTAAAAAAATAGTGATTGAGCCCATAATCTAATCGGGAAAGTGAGATCACAGAGCAGTCGAGTTGAGGGACATTTTCCATGCAACTCCACCTGTTTTTATAACTACAGGAGTCGCCCTCTGCTGGCCATCAGCAAGAATGCAGGTTTAAAGCTTTGTCCGTCTTTTATATGGTCTGTTTGTTACCCAACCTGGACACGCCTTTCTTTCTTTCTTTAGCTTTACTGCACTGCCCTGTTATAACTTTAGGTCTTAATTCTCTATACAACCAAAAAACTACCATCATGCTTTTGCTCAAATTTCTTAAATATTTTTATTACAGGATTAACTGAATATCTGAAAGTTTTTCAAAGTAACAATGATGAGGATTATGTATTTGCTCGTCTTTTACTGACCAAACAATTAATTATTTTAAGGGTGGAAATCACCGCTAGTTTCACTGTTGATCCTGATATGTTGCCTCTGATAGGAAAACACTGATGCTTCTGTTTCCACGTCAGGAGCGGTGAAAAACGGGACCTCGTGAACACACTGCCTGAATAGAAAGTCATAAGAAAACTCGCAGACGTTAAAAGGGCTCGTACACTGAAGCGAAATGTTATTTTCTCAGACACAAACGGGGACAATCAGGGCTGCTAAGTTCAGTGGATGTTCAGGTGGGACGAGAGGTTGAATTTATGGATGTTCTTTAGGGATACTCATTAGAAATGATCACTTTTATCATCACGTCATGAATAATATTAGGCTTTAGTTTGGTGCTGTTGACCACCTCCTTAATGTGGTGACATTTTTATCACCAGCCAAAGATAAAAAATACTAAATACTGAATATAAATTGGTGTTTTAGCTGATCTGCTGCCACAGCGTGTCCCCTCCCAGGAGCCCCTGAGCACCACTGTCTGTCTGCCCTCAGCCTGCCTGTCTCTCTGTATGCCTGTCTGCAACCTGCAGCCTGGAAATGTACAAATCTATTTGCTCAGAAGTATTTTCTGTAAAAACAGACGTGAAAATAATTTATCCATGGTGACACTGGGAAAACCGCCCCTTGTCTTTTGCTATGTTGAATCTTGGAGTCTGAGTCTGTCTTGAAGTGTGACTGTTTATTTGTGCCACAAGCCTAGATGAAAGTGATGTACACCTCCTGCACACAAACAGATCAGGACAAAGAGGTTGCATGAATGACATAGTCTCTATTACAGTACTGCTGTGCATGTCTTTGAGTCCCATTCTACGATCACTGTAACACACAGGGGTGACACAAACTACCGACATGGAAAAAAGGTGAAAAAATGAACCAATAATGTACAAAATGATCAGAACCAACTGCAAATTACTGACTCTGTACAGTTGTTTCTTTGAATTGAAAAGTACAGATTGAAAGATAATCTTTTGTGTGTGTGTGAGTGTGTGTGTTTTTGTGAGTCATTTAAGCAGGTCTGGGGGCTCCTATTTTATTTCCACTATGACTGAGGGTCAGTATAATTCGTATTGGCTACTGTGTTAGTCAGTTTTATAGACACAAAAAAAAGTTATTTCTAAAGTTCCTCATTGTCATGTTCAAGTGATCAGTTTGAGATGATTTGAGTTACATCCTGACGTATTATCCTGCTAGAAGCAGCCATCAGAAGACGGGTAAGCTGTCATCATAAAAGGATGGACATGGTTAGCAACACTCAGGTAGGCTGCGGTGTTTAAATAATGCTCGCTTGGTACTAAGAAGCCCAAAGCGTGCTGAGAAAATCCCCCCACACCATTACACTGGCAGCAGCATGAAGCATTAATACAAAGTAGGATGGATCTACACTTTCATCACAGTGTTCTTGACAAATTCTGACCCTGCTATCTGAATATCACCTGGTCTGAGATTCATCAGACTTCATCATTCTCCAATCTTATCTTGTGAGCCTGTGCGAATTTTAGCATCAGTTTCTTGTTCTTAGCTGACAGGAGTGGCAGCCAGTGTGGTCTTCTGCTTCTGTAGCTCATCTGCTCCAAGCATTCATAGATGCTCTTCTTCATATCTTGCTTGTAATGATTGGTTGTTTTAGTTATAGTTGTCTTCCTATCAGCTCAGAGCAGTCTGGCCAATCTCCTCTGATATCAA